CTGATTTTGTAAATTATTCTACGAGGAAAACACTTGTGTATTATATATATATGTATATGCGGATATGCGATAGATATACAATTTGATATGATATATGATCTATGACGTTTGTTTATTACTATGTAAAGTGACAGACATCGAAATTAAACATTAATTACTGTTAATCGTGGCGTTTTGAATTTACTCTTTTTCTTTTCTTTTACCTAAAGAGGATCATGAGAAAGTAAGAAAATTCCAAACGCTGCGAGAGTGCAGACACAATGGACATCCAAATTTTACAAAACGTGAAAAAACATTCGTATTTTCTCATCTCTAAACTCCTCAGACCGTGTTAATATTTAAACAAAATAATTTACACGTCACTCACAAAGCTAGCGCGATAAAAAATAAGTTAACATTCGTTGAAACAACATTATACATTTATGTCTAACAACAATTTTTTGTGCTTGCACTCGCGAATCTCTTGCCGACGTGATACTCAATTTTCTCACACAGAATTTCTTGCTATAAGACACAAAGGGGAGTTTACTTCTTGCGGAAAATACTCGGCATGCTGGGCGATTCAGTTTTCTGTTGAAAAGATCTTGTTCATTTTCTGGCGCATATCCTTGGCAGACATTCACCGTCGTCATCGATAGGGAAAGCCCGGAGCTCGTCGAGTGTCCTGGAATGAAGATAATTTTTTTACAAACGTTTAAACATTTTCCGTTATCGAGAAAATATGTACAGGATACATAATGTTTCAAATTGCAACACTTCAAATTGCAACAATTAAGAAAGTAAGCTGAAGATATATAATTATCGCGAGACTCAAGAAGCAAATTAAGAATTATTGGTGGCGAAATAAATGTTATTTATTCGGTCAAATTAGGAATGTTCTACTGAAGTAAAAAAAGCGAGGTAGAACAAATTTATTTCACGTCCAAATTTTGTACATAAATTATTTGAACTAAATTCGCGTGTTAAGTGGTCCATCTGTTCGAATATTATTGACGCTGTTTCTTTTTTTAACAGGTTTATTAACTTGTGGTCAAGAAAAATGTCGAAATTTTTTAAGGTTTAATCTATACACTAGGTGTAGTAATCCTTAAGTCCTAAGAAATTAATCAATCATAGTTAATTATTTTCCTCACATTTGATTGTGATTGATCAATTTCTCACAGCAGATCTTAATGGAATACTTAATAAAGTTGTAGGGTAGTATTTCATTGTCGGATCTTTTATATTTAAGACCGGCTGGAGTATAATCTTAAGAGAGAGAGATGTTATAAACTAATCACTCGATTGTTAGATATAACAGCCGTATTATCAACCTTAAGCCATTGTCTTGAAATAAGAACCGACTATGTATACTAGCCTTAATTTTACTCATTAATTCTTCTTTTGGAATAACGATTGTTTGTTCGTTGCTTAGCAAGGAAGATTTTACAGAAAAATATATTGCTCTTTTTCTTACCTATATAACAGGAGATGAGGTAATATGCGAAATCGAAATATATACGCAAGCCGTCCGCGACTTCTCTGCATATATTTACTTCGTTTACTGTTTTCTCTATGGTATTATTCACTTTACTCCGTTGAGGTTTCTCTGTTCGTAATATTCTCGGTTCGGAATATTCGTAAACTGCGTCGTAGTAAAATCAATAAAATGCTATGCCAAAGATTCCGGAATATTTATCACAGTAGGTTGCGCCGGAAGTACAAGCTGAAATAAATATCAGTGATATATTTGTATACCTACTATTTGTTTTCAGGGAAAGATTAGTTTTTAATATAAATTACAATTAATGCAAATCAATGAGAATGACACCGGCGGCTTTTTCGCCTCTCTGTATATGAACTGGACGACAAATCTGACAAATAAATTGAAAATAGGTTAAGCACATTTCCCGTGTTGATAAACTATTACGTAATGCGTTCCGAAACCACTGTGACGTCCTGGGTGATGCGAGGTGGCTCGATCCGGCAGAACGTCTCCGTTGACGGGTTCTTTTTCTTGCAGTTAAGGAGGTAAAACCCCAGGATAATTAGCTGTTGGTCGGCGATGTAGATTATGGCTCCTTGAATCCGTCGAAGGTAGGTAATTCAATAATCTTCAATAATCTTCATCTTTCTTTTGATATAAAAAAAGTATGATATTTATTGTATAACTTT